CTTAAATGGGAAACATTCTGGTGGGCTTCTCCACTCAATCACCACCTGCTGGTCAGCAGTTCTACCATCATGCCTCATGTCTTATGGATTTGCTACTATGTGGTGCCTCTAGTCACATGCTTCTCTGCTCCCTCCCCACCGTCCCTGTGATGAGGGCACACTACACGGAAGGGTATTCAGTGTTGGGGCTGCACTAGTGTCCATAGAGCGTTCGGGTCTGTCAAAATTCTTCCTTAGCACACAGCCTGGTTACTCGCCATAGGCTTGTGCACTGGGGACAGAATTTGTTCCTTTGATACCTGTCTAAGTGACTGGCCTTGGTCCTTCGCGAGGAAACAGAAGCTCTTTGTGCAAGGAGCGAAGTGATTTAATAGAGCATTTTTTAAAAAGACCTGAATTTGTGAAGGAAAAAAAATTGCCATATCTCTCATGCAATTTTCTAAGGTGTTGGCTTATAGGGCTTCCTTGGAAACCAACTCAAGGGTTGCACTCTTCATAGCTTCTACAGACAGAGCACACTGCACCCACCAGGATCTCCTTGCATTCCTCCATTTCCTCCCCACCACCTTCCCAAAGTCCCTGTATGCCACTCTCCCATCCCCCTCTGATTCAGGGACTGCCTACAGCTCCCACTCACTCTCTCATGCTAGTAGCTGTGTGTCTCCCCTTCCCCACTCCTTCCCATTCCAGGGGCTGTGTGCCCTCCTTCCCTCTCCACCATATGCCAGGGTTCCCCATTTTCTACCCCCATGGCAGGGGCTCTGTGTTCCTCCTTCTCCTCCTTCCTCCCCATACCAGGGTGCCGCAATCTGCCCCTTCCAACAGGAGTTCTATGTGCCTTTCATTTCTGCCTCCCCTATATCAGGGACTCCCTTTCTCCCTTCACTATGGCAGGGCCTCCACGTGCACCCCCATTCCCTTCCATGCCAGAGTCCTCTAATCTTCCTTCTGCCAGGGATTCTGTGCTCTCCTCCCCCCATACCAAGGTTTCTATGTGTACTCCCGTTCCCTCTTCCCTCCCTCCCTTCCAGGGGCTCTGCCCTCTATTCTCCCTTTTGCCCCCCAAGCTGGAGGCTCTGTGTGTCCCCAATCTCCCCCATCCCTCTATCAGGGTCCCCCAATCGCCTTCCTGCCAGGGATCCTGTGTGCCCCATTCCCCCATGCTAGGGGCTGAGTGCACTCCCATTTCCCCCAACCCTTAATGTTCTCTGTCTGGAAGATGTCATTCAGGGTGTCAACAGGTTAAACTCTATTGAGAAGATGGGTAGAGATGAGCTCAGGGTATTGATATGCTGAAAGGTGTTAATGGCTGCCTTCAGACAGTTCTTTGATCTATAGACAATGGCAGAGGCACTTCAAACTGTGGATCTGCTAACCAGAGGAAAGGGCAACCTGTGCCTCTCATTTCCTGATTCCTCCCCAAAATTTATAGGGTTCTTCCCACTGATGCCTAGAATGTTCCCTGATATTTTTTGGAATTGATCAGATACAGCATTCAAAAGTTACCATGGAACATACAAACAGCCCCAGAGAGAAATTCCAGCAACTTGAGCATTAGGCCTTTGAAAACTCAGCCAATTATTCTAAGTTCATAAAACTATTTTACAGATTTGTTGTTGGTATATTTAGCTGTCAGTTTATCTTACGAATTTAAGAACCTGACTGTGCCTTTAAGACACAGGCCAGGACTAAGTGGTGCAGAGTGACCTCTCTCCTGAGGAAACTCCAGAGGAGATTGTCTCTCAGGAGACACAGTCCCTGCCAAAGCTATGTAGCATGCAAGCTGTGCTTTCACTTTTTCGGGGAGGAACTTTTTGTTCTGTTTGTACAGCACCTAGCACAATGGGGTCCTGGTCCATGATTGGAGATCATTGGCACTCCTGTAATACTATTACTACAAATAATAATCCATTTGGATGCAGACCATAGGCATTGAGTTTTACTTTTCCCCGGGGGGTGCTCTATCCAAGCTCTGGCACAAGGCCCCGCCCCCACTCCACTCCTCCCCCAAAGTCCCTCTCTGCCTTTTCCCACTCCTGCTCCACCCCCTCCCTGAGGCCACTGCTCTCTGCCCTCTCATAAGCCCCTCCCTGAGCTGCAAAACAGCTGTGGCTGGGTGAGTGCTGAGCACACTACTTTTTTTTTTTTTCCCCCTCCAGTGAGTGCTCCAGCCACGGAGTCAGCGCCTATGATGCAGACTGCCCCTCCTGGCCAACTCCGCTGGTTGGGATATGGGGCCTTGACTACAGTTTCCCCCCCTACCATCTTTGGGACAATTTGTGCCCAAGTAGGGGAATGCAGAGAAGTTCCTGCCTTTCCCTGGGCACAGGGGCTGTGATTATCCCTGGCCTTTGCATAGGGTGTACCGAGGTTGGGGTTAACGAAGACTCTGTGAGCTGGCCCCCCACCCCCAACATAACTTTCATGAGAGCTAGGAACACCCTTATCATGTTTTAAGAGGTTTTACAAAACACATGGCATTAGGAGAGGTTATTACATAAAGTTTCAGTTCCATCAGTGATTGGCTTTGTTTAGATTGAAGCAGTTCAGCTCAATTTTCTTCCTTTTTTTCCCCCCCACTTGCTACTGGAAAAGCAGGAGAGAATTGGCAAGGGGAGAAGAAGGAAAAACAACAAAAGTTTTTCTTTCCCAATTTTATTAGAAAAACAGAAAATTTTAAACCAATCCTTTTCAATACAACCAGCTCTAAGGGCCACCCCTTACATAGCCAGCTCTAAGTGGGTATAGGATGGGATCTTCCTTGAATGGCTGTATAAGGGCTAATCACCAACAAGACCATTATTTTTGTTGAAAGAATTCCTTTTAATAAATAGAAAGCCCATAGTAACAGAAACAATGTCAGTCCCAACCTAAACCACTTACAGGTGAAAAAAAAAATCATTTCATGAGATGTTTTAATTTACCTTTTTGTTTGCAGTGTTGTTGTAGCCATGTTGGTCCCAGGATATTAGAGAAACAAGGCGGGTGAGGTAATATCTTCTATTGGACCAACTTCTGTTGGTGAAAGAGACAAGCTTTTGAGCTACACAGAACATTTCTTCAGGTCTGCATAGCTTGAAAGCTTGTTGCTTTCACTAACAGAAGTTGGTCCAAATGAAGATATTGCCTCCCCCACCTTGTCTCTTTTTAATTCAATTTTGTAAGAAATACATTTTGAGCATTAGTTTTTAAATTGTAACCCCCTCATTATAGTTAGCTTTGTCATTAAATGCATTAAATATTGCTGGTTAAATGGTATCTAGCGCAAAAAAAAAATCTGTAAGAAAACTAACATAACTAGGAAAATGATCCATTGCCAATAATGACTGTCACCAATATGTTTCCTCCGACCATGACAGCTCTCCTCTTCCGCAGGAATTGGAAGTGCCTAGCTAATATAGATTGGCCAAAACTGTTTTCAACATGGTCCTTGATAATCATCATACTTTCCCTGTTGAAAATGTTTTTCTTTTGTTTCCTCACTCCCTCATCTACATTAAAACTAAACCATTTTCAATGGCTAGGAGAACTTATTGCAGCCAGTCAGCAGTGGGTTATTGTCCTAGTGTGGAATGGGTCCTTAATGTTATATGCCTTTTAAACTTTTGCTGCAGAGCGCTGGGACTGGGAAAATCAGAGAACGGGAATGATTTGCTATAGGGAACTATTCACATTAGCAGAAAGGTGGACTACATGATCTAACAAGTGTTTTTTTCATTTTCTGACTTTGATTTGTCCTTGACAATATAAACAAACTAGCAAAGAAGGAACAAAAAGAATGTTGAGGGCACAGTCAATAGGCTAAAACAAACAAATAAGGAAAATGAATTTAAAACCTAAGTGAGACATGTATAGGTTAAGCACAGTGGGCCAGATTCTGATTGCAGTAACAGTGATGTAAATCCAGAGTAACTCCATACTTTCAGTGGAGTAACTTTATGTTTCCGCAGGTGGAACCAAGATCAGAATTTGGCCCACTGAATTCTAGTTTTTATAGCAAATGCCAAGGGGGGAAACAAATCAACTGTCTGTGGTCTACCAACAGTTCTTGGGACTTTGTAAAGAGTTTGCTGTGTTTAGAAGACTGAGGGTTTGTCTTCACTACCAGCCGGATTGGCGGGCAGCAATCGATCCAGCAGAGATCAATTTATCGCATCTAGTCTAGACGCGATAAATCGATCCCCAAGCGCTCTCCCATCGACTCCTGTACTCCAGCTTGGCAAGAGGCACAGGCAGAGTCGACGGGGGAGCGAAAGCAGTCAACTCACCGCGGTGAAGACACTATGGTAAGTAGATCTAAGTACGTCTACTTCAGCTACGTTATTCACGTAGCTGAAGTTGTGTAACTTTTAGATCGGAACTCCCCCACCACCAGCGTAGAGCAGGCCATAGTTCTTTTTCCCCCAGAGTCCAACATATGTTAAATTTAATGTTTTGCCACAGGCTTTGGAAGTATCTGAATTACTCTTAACAATCAATTTTGAAATGTTTGCAACACATTATCTAAAGGCTTGTCTATATGGGAAAATTGACTGGAATAGATATTGTGGAGTAATTTTTATGGTAATGAACGGTCATTTTTTTCCAGAACAATTACTCTGTTTTGGAGGATACTAATTATTCCAGAATAAAGTGACTTTATTTCACAATATAGTGTCCATGCAAGGAGCTATTCCAGAATAACTATTGCACAATAATTTATTATGCAATAGCTATTCTGGTCAATTTCCCAATGTACACAAGCCCGTAGGTAAATGGTTCTCTTAACTATTCAATACAGACCTGATCCAAAGCCTGATATAGTCAGAGACTTTACTGACTTCAGCGGTTATGGCTGAGTCCCATAGTTCAACTACAAAGATCGCTGTGACTAAGGGATCTTATTTAATGGAACTGAAATGTGCAAAGTAATTTGGCTCTTTTATCCTATTTTTGGCTTTCCAAATAAATGTGTTAAAATGTGAAACAACAATGCTTTGGGAAAAAGTGGGGGTTGCTCATTTTGAAAACATAACACAGATCAGTGTGACCTTTATTCAAAGACAGAGAATATTCATCTCACTTTGGAAACTAAAACCTCTTCATTAATGGTTTAAAAGGCATCTATTTTCATGGCTGTACATCCTATTCTGAAAACAATAAGTTTAATAAAAATGTCAGAACTTGAACATTTTATTACTGAATACAAAAATACTATCTATGTAAAAAGAATAAGTTAGTTTATTTACAGTACTTTACACTATTCTGCTCTAGGAATTCCTTAGTAATGGATTTATTTGATACATGCCTTTATAACTTTGCACAAAGCATCTCCAGCAGCATGTCATCCATGTTCACTGTTCCAATGATGGGCCTAAAGAATAGTTCAGCAATTACGTTAGCATTAATGGATCTCAGCAAGGAAAGAACAACATTCAGCTTGGCAAATCTGGCCTGGTCCCCTCGATGAATCAGTGTGACGTGTTCATTTAGAGCTTGCTGTGCTTCCCTCTGCAGTCCCTGGATATACTGTACACACTGCAGCCCTGGCAGATCTGAAAGAAAAACAGGAAACTAAATGTCCGTTTACAAAGTTTTTATCTATAAAACAACTCATGGAAGTTGGCCATCCTGCAGCATGCCAGCTAATTGGTAACTCATAAACATCAATATTAAGTTTCTTAGATGAGGAACAAGCCAAATGTAATTACCTTTCTGCATGAAAATGATTCAGCTAGAGATATTATATCCAACATGCATGTAGATATGCACAGATTTTAATAGTGCAATCCAAAATCTCACCACGTTGCTGTTCTGGACATGCAGTGCTGCTCTTAGTTATGCAACAAGAGATTTAGATTGCAACAATATTTTCCAATATTCATGTTTTTAAAAAATGTATAATTTGTAGGTGATAAAATATGGACAACCAGTATTTACTTACCAGTAACTATCTTCAAGGAGCCAAATATACAACGTAAATAGTAAAGATAATAAAAGGAACAAGTTTGCTAATAACTTGTTGACCACTAGGAAATGCTCTATTCATATTAATGTGTCCTGCTGACAGCTACATTGGAACAAGCGTCAGATTGCAGATAAGGAAGTTAACTCCAAGATGTGATAGGATGTTTGCTTTCTAAATAAACAAAATAGGGGAGTGGAGTTGTTTGCAAGTTCAGTACCTTTCCTCTTGGTTTAAGTTTGACAAGCTTCTCGGCTCTCTGTGAGCTGAGGGGTGAAAACATTATCTACTATCTGAGCATAACAAGCTATTATATTTCAGGTAGGTTTTTAAAAATAAAAATCAACTGCTAACATCTGATTTTATTGTGAGATTATATAAAAATATTGCTTTTTAAACAAACTATGCATACATATATACAAGCTTTCCTCATTTAATCTGACCAGATTCTGTTTCTAAATCTTGAGATTTGTTAATTTTTTATTCTTTGAAAACCTTATCAATCAAGCACACTTTGATCCATTATTTCTTAACCGCAGTTATGAATTACCACCGGATTATTTTAAGAAGCCAAACCATAATGCTTACTGCATGGCTTGTGGTGCAGCAGTTGAATTTGCAAAGTTGCAAGTTCAGAAAGAAAAACACAGTGACTATTGTCTATTACTGTCACCTCCATGGATTAATTTTTTGTAACAAAAAGTGGGAAGATGGTGTTCAGAGGCAATTATTTAACACAAAATAAAAAGCACTCTAGCTAAGTTCCTATTAGTCATGTATGAATTGTAACTGGAAAGACCCCTATCAAATGCCTGGATTAACAGGAAAGAGGAGAGGTTTCAGAGTAACAGCCGTGTTAGTCTGTATCCGCAAAAAGAAGAACAGGAGTACTTGTGGCACCTTAGAGACTAACAAATTTATTTTTTGAAAGAGGAGAGATTTTCTACTAGGATGAAAGAGAAAAATTTATACTGCCCACCTCAAGAGACAGGTCATTTAGTACCAGTGGCTTTCAGTCTCTAATTAAACTGGACAAAGTGCTCTTTACCTGAAAAGGACCCCAGAGCAGCACCACCTATTCTTCCCCTCTTTCCCCAAGCATGTAAAGGGCTTGTCTACACTTAAAATACTAAAGCAGCACAGCGCTTCAATGTAGACACTACCTTTGCTCACAGGAAGGGATTCCCCTCTTGCTCTAGTTAATTCACCTCCCTGAGATGCCATAGCTAAGACCACAGAAGAATTACAGGGACTCTATGCTGCTCAGAGGTGTGGATTTTTCACACCCTGGAGTGATGTCGTTAAACCAACCTAATTTTCTAGCGTAGCCCAGGCCTAAGTTTTCTAATAGTTGGGAGGTTGGACCAGTAAGGGAAAAAGATAGTCGGCCACTCTTCTAGCATTGCCACGTCTGAGGTAGGGAAAAAACCAGGACCCCAGGCTGCTCTAAGCCCATAAAATGGGACAGCTCTGGACAGCTTCCTCCAAAAAGATCCAATCCTGGGCAAACCTGGCCAGGTGGCAGGTCTACCCTCCTCCCTTTCCTTCCACGGAATGCATGTAATGCAAAGCCCCCTTCAACAGGGGGAAAAAAATAACTCCACCTTTCAAAAGTTTCCTCTTGACTAAAATCCTGTCAGCTTCTTCAATCAACCTCCCTCCAGTCCCGCTCTCTTCTCTACCCCACTAGGCAAGGAATCAAATGGGGGGATGCGCAGGAGGTGCAGCTGAGGGGAATCCCCTTCCCCGAGGCGGCGGCGGCGGCACCCCCCGGTTACTCACCCGGGTTGAAGAGCACAGTCCCCTTGAGGTAGGCGTACTCCTTGGTGCTGATGTCCAGGCTCCAGCACTTGGCCAGGAAGCCTTTGATGGCCTGGATCTCGCCGGCCGAGGGCAGCTGCGGGCTGCTGCTCTGCGGGTGCTGCTCCTGCCGCCGGTCGGTCAATATCCGCTGCAGCATGCTGGGCTCCGCGGTCTCCACCGTCTCGAAGTGCACCCGCTCCTGGGCCAGCCCCAGCACCAGCAGCGGAGCCCAGCAGCTGCGCACCAGCACCAGCTGCTCGTCCAGCGGCAGCTCCTGGAAGCAGGGCACGCTCTTGACGAAGCGCAGGGTCTTCACCAGCACGGCCGAGGCCGCCTTGCCCGCCACCTGCGGGCTGCGCAGGGCCACGCGCCGCCGCGAGCCGCACGAGCAGCCCGGCCCGGAGGCTCCTGCGGCGGCGGCGGCGGCTGCTGCGCTGCCCCCTTCTGCTCCTCGCTCTTCAGGATGTTGTAGAGGATGCTGCTCTGCCTCCGGCGCTCCGTGCAGCAGCGGCAGCCGGCCACGCACGCCATGGCGCCGGGGGGAGGTTCCCCTCCTGCCTGCTGGGCTGAGCCAGACGGGGAGCTCCCAGTGCGTCTCCCTTAACTTATTTATACCGTGTGCGCGTGTGTGCAGCCGCGCTGTGGCTCAGCCGTGCCAGGGGGCAGACGCTCATTACTGGCTGAAAAAGAGAGAGAGAGAAAAAAAATCCTCCTCTTGCTGCTGCTCTCGCTCGCCTCCTCCGCTGCAACTGCGGTGGCTAGAGGGAGCCTGCGAGTTGCCGGCTCCAGGTCGCCCCTGGCTTCAGGGCTATAGTCTCCGGCCCTACTCGCGGATCGCTCCCCGCTTTGCTTTCAGGTGTGTGGCGGGGGAGAGACGCGACATTTTACACCCGCTCCTCCCGCCTCCCCTTTCCGGCGGCGCTCTCTGAAGTGGGGCGAGGGGGCTGAGCTGCCCGGCGCCTCTCCCCGGGAGCGCTGCACGGTGCCGCCTGCCTCTGCCCGCAGAGCGCTTGTTAAATCCGCAAGTTTGGGGAAGGGACCTTTGACTCCAGCGCCGCGCGGAACCTGAGCCCTGCGGCCACGTGTTGGCAGACAGGCAGTTTCGCACCCGAGAGTCCCCGCAGAGTTTTCCCCAATCTCTCTGCGGGAGGGGCCCGCGGGGCTCTTCCCCGGGGGAATGGTATGGGGCCGGCAGGGGTGGGAATTCCCTAAGGGAAAGGCAAGCCTGGGGGGAATTCCCAAAGGAGGGGGGCCATGGGGCACATAAATATAGGGTGTTACACTGGCACCAACTGGGAATTATGTGATGGAAATGCCTCTGTTTATGCCAGACAATCTTCATTTTTTACATTCTCAGTGCTAAATTAACCTCAGGCTCTAGGCCAGCTTCCTTGAAGAAGGGGGTAAACAGGTGCAACCTCCCCTGCACTATGAGGTACAGAGGACAGCAGGGCTGGGAAGTGGCTGCATAGGCTCAGTAGTCTCTGCCAGCAGAGCTCCTATAACACACTGGGTGATTTAAAGATGCTATCCCACACTATCACAAAAAGGTGGATCAGCTTGGCACAGGAAGTTGAATTTTCACTACCTTTCACCAGGTTTGGGTAAATCTGGACGTATGTATTTTATATACCTATTTCATCTTCCTATTGTGTTGTTTGCGTACCATCTGTCATCTTAAACAATTATGTCTTCCACAAACTCACCTTCTGCCATATTATTAAATCTGTTCAATGCCGTTTTTGTTTCAATTTTCACCAGAAAGGTTGTCAAGTATCAGAGGGGTAGCCGTGTTAGTCTGAATCTGTAAAAAGCAACAGAGGGTCCTGTGGCACCTTTAAGACTAACAGAAGTATTGGGAGCATAAGCTTTCGTGGGTAAGAACCTCACTTCTTCCTTGCATC